TTAGTTTTGATGCAAAAACGCATGATCGCACCGGCTCGCCTGGTGCGTTCCAGCCTTTGTTTTGATTTGTTTTAAGACTGCACTAATAAATGTGGGGTTTGCATTTGGGTTCTGTGCGCATTCCCACAACTGTTGAAGTGCTTCTCCCGCAACCCACTTCCTCTCCCGAACGCTACTAGGGGGCTGAGCCGATCTGACATGGATTCCGGATTCTGAGCGCGTAGAGGAGCAACTGAGAGGCAGTTACGACACCTATTCGCGCGTAGGCTAAAGAGTGAATGAGTGCTAAAGGTGAGCACATCAAGCTCCGAAGCTAAAAAGTGTGGAGAGGTGAAAAGTAGACCTCGAAGTATAGCTACAGCGCGTTGGCGGCCAAGCGCAGCTAAACGTTATTGGTAACGTTTGAAAGAACTATGTCGGTTTGCAACGAGCGTAGTGAAGAAGGGAAAGAAGTTTTCCGAACCCGGAAGGAGAACGAATTGGACTGGGAGGATGCGCAACACCTCCTGGACGTGAGAAGTAGTGGGCAGTTTTTTGGGATAGGCTAGCCGAAGCAATTGAGGCCGAGAGATGTAGTTTGAAATACCTTGAAGCAAAAATAAGAAAAGAGAAAACGCGTCTGATTGCGCAGGGTAGGATGACGAGAGGGCTCACGTTCAAAGTAGAGATTTGTTCCGAGCCGTGGGAGGACGGCCTCGAAGAATGGAGCAGAAAGCAGAACAACCTGAGAGGTGTACTCAGAAGCGTCCTGGACGGCAAATCAGTTGTTGACGATGAAGACCGAGAAGCGAACCCAGGCTGGAATGCACCAAGCGGACCGGTGCGATTACAAGTTTTTGCACTTTTCGTGCTGCAGCGAGATCGCAAGGAATCAAAATAGTTAACCCTGTGAAATACTGGCCTTCGAAGCTCGGGAAGTTAATTGTGTAATTATGTGGTATGTAGGTGGCGACTTCAGTGACCCGACAATTCGAAAGTTGCTGGTTCGCAAAAAAGGCCACACAAGAGGGGTTAAGTTTAAAATCTTTCAGTTACATATGAACAGGAAACATTCCCCTAAAATTAAAGCCTTCAGCTTTTCCCGTTTCCGAGTTAGCAGTTTTCCCATCAAAATTTTCACGTATCCGTATACGAGTTCTGGACGGTTTTAAGGAGCTAAATTTAAAATCTTTTATTCACAAATGAGTAGGGAACATCCCCTTAAAGTTTCAGCTTTCTAGCTTTCCCCGTTCCTGGGTCTGTAATTTTCGCGCCAAAATTTCCACACGCTCGTATTTGGGCTCTGGCGCTTCTAAACGCCTGATTTTGCTCGTACACGAGTTGGGGACATTCCCTTAAAGTTTCAGCTTTCTAGCTTTTCCCGTTCCTGGGTTAGTGATTTTTGCGCCAAAATTTTCACGTGCCCGCACGTGAGCCCCTGGCAGTCCTAAGGAGCTGAATTTGAAGACGTTTAGTCGTGCATGAGTATGGAACATTCCTCCAAAGTTTCAACTTTTTAGCTTTTCACATTCTCGAGTTATGAATTTTCTTGCCAAAATTTTCACGTGCCCGTACGTAAGCCCCGGGCACTTCTGGGCAGTCGAATTTGAAATCTTTTTGTTATACGTGGGTAGGGAACATTCTCCCAAAGTTTCAGTTTCCTAGCTTTTCTCGTTCCCGAGTTAGCGATTTTTGCGCCAAAACTTTCACGTGCTCATACGCGGGGC